TTTTTTTTACCTCAGAAGTGTAGAGCAAAAAAGGTAGAGGTCATCTGAGAAAAAGACTGAGACTTTGTTGATCGATAGATGCGAACTTTAGGAATGAGCCATGTACTAGACTTGTATTCAAAGGCGCAGGGACTTTTGAAAGTGCCTACGTCCCACGCTATGGTTAGTAAAGTCAGAAGTTTGTCTAGCGATTCCTCTTCTGGATGATGTCGGCCCTCAAAGGGCAGACGAATGAAGTCTGTTGGAGAAGTCTGGTCATTGAGCAGATAGTCTTATCCATCTTCCTAAATTCTTCGACCAAAAGAGACAGTAGGTGAACTAGAAATGATACCGAGATTCCACGAAAGGAGAAACTCCACGAGAACAGTGATTTTGCCTTCCAAGCTATATCCCCTACCATCCAATATGGAAAGGTAAGCTTCGGGAGCTTATCCGAACCACCACGAAGCTTCGAAACCTATCTCAGGGTCTATTCCATCGAATCCTGATAGAAAAGGGTGACTCATGAAGTCATGATTGTCGGTTTTCTAGCTTGCTCTCTGATATGTCCAGAATACAATCCGTCCCCCCGTCTGATAGAGAATTCTCGGTTCTTGATAGACAATGGGTTCTCGATGGTTTCGCTTGGTAGTTCGAAACTTTTTCGCGACTGATCCCTTCCATCTGTCCATGTTGAACTTTGCTTTCGGGCGTATTTGTAGCGTTCTGTCATTCTTTCCTTCATACACATCTGGCAGAAGTGTGTCTCATTTGAAGCTTGACCGGCTTCCTCGACGTTCCACCGTAGACAAATTGGTACCAGCCCCCGTCGAGATCTGCCAGAAAAACATCATTAACTGAGCGAACGACTGTTCCGTGCAATACTGATCGTATCTCTCCAAGCATTCAACGCTTTTTACGATTTCTAATGAAGTTCATATGCTCGGAACCTAATTTGATATGTACTGATGTGGAAAACTCTCAAGCAACGGATAATACTGGAATATGAGCTATTCATATAACTTTGCTATAAAACTTAAAATGTGCTTACAACTATTTTAACCTCAAATGATCTTTTGACATAGTAAAATGGGACTATAACTATAATTGATTCCTAGATTCGAAGATCCGGATGTTTGGCCCAAATTCCTCGATCTGGATCTTTTGTCAGTGTACTTTACTGGTTTTCTAAGTTATTGTTAATTTCTTTTCCATTCCAGCAGGTCAGTATTGCTAGGATTCTTTTGGCCTTTCACGATTTAACCCCCTCTCCCTCAAAAAGCATCCAAGATTATGAACTGTTTACTTTATGAGTAAATAGTACGGTAATACACAGCGGGTCTTCTGGACGTCCTGGGCACTCCCTGTTTACCCTGATGACCACCCAATGCAAAAAAGAACTCGAGTTCATAGAAGAGAAATGTCTGATGGACGGGGAAAGATTTCTCGAGACTCCCTGGAAGGAATGAGTAGGCTTCAATTTAATCCTTATCATTATTTATTTATTTGTCTGAATATTTAGTCAAAAGGGTCGGTTTGGTTGCGGAAGAAGAGTTGGCAGACTGGAAGAAATACTGCCTGGTTAGGGCAGTAAGTCTGTATTGGTTCAGCTTCAGGCTGCACTTACTTTTCTGGCTTATTTGTTTACATATTTACGGTGCAGTTGGGGAAATCAGCTGTGAGGAAGTAAGAGACTGGAATGGTGGAAGTTTGGGCTTTCAGAATCCTGTCAGAATCATCTTACGGCAGTTGAATCGATAACTGGCCGGAGTTTTCAATGATTTCATTTTTCGATTACTTTTATTGATTTTCTCAGAAGTTCCTTTCTTGAAATAGTTTCGAAAGGGATGGAGCTCGAGCACAATACGGTAATAGATTTGGTAAAAGTTTTTAGAAGCTCGTCTTTCTTAAGATGGATCGGATTTTTCGAAGGAAGAGTCAGAGTCCTGACGTTTTTGTCTTTGTACCCTTCCAGATGGAAACATCTGCAGAAGTTGGATGTGTCGGAGCAGTTCCATCAGATTTGTTGCAGTAGGACGTTCCCAACAATCTGTCATTTCCGGGCGTAATCGCGTATTGCTGTTGCGATCGGTTTGATCGAACGTAGTTGTGCTAATCCATCTTTAGTTTAATGGAGTCCATCGGGGCGCGTGCCATAGGGATGGCCAGGAACGCCTCGAAGGGGGAACGAACGATTTGTCTAGGGCCATGCAGGGAAAAGGCAAGTATCTCTGTCCCATACGCATGGTCTGGAAAATGAATTCCGGATCGATACTCGCCCAAAAAACTAGGTTTCCCAACCCTCCGGAGTCAGGGAAATGGTACCAGACACATCTGGGAAGATCTTGGAAGACTGACTGTCCATTGCTAGTCACTGTATAGAGCACAATCAAAATGTCACTGCGATTCTAATTTGAAGCCGAATGCAGGGCCCATCTCGAACTGGGCTTTGATCAACCTCAAAAAACCATACCTTTCAATAAATGTTCGGAACAGGTTTGATGTCAACAAAAACCTGAGAGAGGAAAGATTTCAAGATGAACCTCAATATTCCGATGTTTCCCTCATTCCCGAGGCTTCCTACCTACCATCTTACTAGGCGGATGTTCCCATTACCACCTTTCTCGTCTAATGGATTGAATTGTTAACAATCGTTGAAATAGTCGGATGAAAGGGCACGTCAAAGCCGAGTCATACGTAGCCGCCACCACCCACTCAAGATGGGTCTATTGTTTCTCATCAATCAGCTACGACAACTGATGGTTACGGTTGAAAAGAGGGGGAAAAATCGGAAATGTTAGGATGGAATACAGAAATTGTGCAAAAGACTCGTTTTTTACATGGTCGTACTGCATTTTTACTTGTAAAAAATAGGATTTTCAGGGAAAAATTAGGCATTGGAGTCAAAAATTGAAAAAATGAGGTATTGAAGTTGAAGTGAAGTACCGGTATTATCCGGATTCGAACTTGCCTATTAAAGATCATTTTTGCATTGACGAGAAGTGAAGGATTCTCTTGGGCGTGGGATACCCTTCTCCGCCTTTTGCTAGTGATTTTTCGAAAGGCGATACCCTTGGGTCAAAAAATTCCTGAGAGGATCTCTCCCACTCAATTGATTCACTCAATTGATTCTGTACAAGGGGTATCCGGTGGAGTGAGCTTTGGAACTGAATTACTCTCCCCTGACCTGGTAGTCGAATGAATGGCATCCTCCACGTGGGCCATCTCGCTCTTGTCCTCTGAAATTCAAACAGGAATCAATTAATGCCTATAAGCCTAAGTGTCTAATCTTAGTGAAAAAAGTAATAGAAGAAAGATTTAAGGCGTAATCTCATTCATGGGGGTAAGAAAGCTATGATTATGCCCCGGATTAAGTCCAATTCCATTCCCTAAAATTCTTTCCTGGAGTTTTTGTGGTGGTGGTTCCCGGTTCCGCCGCTGGAAGAGCATGCAGAGCTATCCAATTATACGAATTCCTCATCGAATTCTGTCTCGTTCCACTTTGTAGGAGTTTCGGGATTGACTCCCACCAGAACAAGCGGAACCGACCCATTTAGATCCTTACGACTCCCAATAACCATTTCCTACTACTGAACCGCTTCCTGTGCAGTTCCGGGATTTGACTGGGGGCAAAAGTGGAGAGGTGGATGAGTAGCCGAGGTGGGGAGATTCAATTCATCGACGGCTTCCGGTCAAACCTATTATCGGTAGTCAGTTGGTTCCCCCTTTCAAGCTCCTCTGATAGGGTAGAGGCTCAGATTCCCGGCTTGTTGGGAATTACTGAACTTATTGGCTTGGACGTGAAGCATCCAAACACATAACAAGACAGATGCATGGCGTATATCACAGTATTGCCTAAGAGCTTAGTTATACCTATATCTGGCCACTGGATGCATTTAACTTGAACCTATAAAGCCGTTCACCTA